CTAGACCGAGAAGGACTGAAGCGGGAGAATGGCCAGACCCCCGAAGACCCGACGAGTCTCGGGGCACAAATGACTTAGTCGAGCCGCTGGATGGTCGAGCATAGCAGGTGGGCATCGCCCAGGCCTGATCGAGTTTGGCCTAAAGAGAATGACTCAGCATCCCTTCAGATGTGGTCGAAGCTAGGAGCCTCCAAAAGTATCTCATGTACATGGGCAGTGGATACGTGGCGCACAATGAGTGGTCCAGGGCGATAACGACCTCTGACATTCTCTGACACATGTTGATGCGTTTTCTGACACCGAGGTTGTTGAGGCGCGCGACCGTACTATCAGGCAGCGGGAATGGTTAGCTCACCATGCTCGGGCAGCCATTCGGGCATGTAACTCGCCCCTATAAATAGGGGCAAGATCTTTATTTTTACGGATGATTTCCATAACACTTACATACTTTCATATATTCTTCTCAAGAACTGACTTGAGCGTAGGAGGCTCTTCACCGGAAAATCCCTCCGGTGTTAAAGTTACGTGCAGGTTCGGCGTTCTACCAGCGAGGAAAGCGAGCTCGAGATGGTTTCCAGCCAGTCGGGTACTAGACTTGTATTAGACTTGAACTACTTTATGATGTGATTAACGTTGAAAATATTTGAATAAAAAATTGAGTTTCGAAAATTTTACTATGAATTTTGGAAAAGACCGATATTTTCTTTAAAATCAAAGTAGGGTGTTACATAAAGTCTCTTCTTCAGATGCTAGAGATCACACTCCACCACCCTGCGTATTTCCATAATTTGTTAGCTCAAGAGAAATTGAAAAAGAAATATGATAATTCTTCACAAAAGCCACATCACAACACCTACCATTCAATACGTCTGCGAGCATAATTTTCAATTTTTAGGTTATGATCTTTGGTTCCCTTTTTTTTACGGTTTTTTTTAGGGGGGGTCCTTTAATTTATATTAACATCATATTTTGGCTAATGGTATAATTTGAAAATAAAAAATGGAAAATTATTAAAAATAAATATAGCAATTAATGAATAACATTATGTTACTACAACAGGTGACGGATTTAGAAATTTTACTTAGGCCCGGTTTTAAAAATTAAATAACATGTTTATGGTTTAAGTCGAAACACTCATTTCATATTTCATATAGAGATGTATATACTATAAACATAAATATCAATATGTGCAGGATCAAGTTTTTTAAAACATAGAATCTGTATCACCCTCAAACTTTTAAAAAAATAAAACAAAAAACAAATGATTTAATTTTTTTATATTTTAATTTCAACATCTAAAATTTATGAAAATATATATTTTTCTGGTAGAAAATTTGATTTAAATTGAACTTTGATATCACATTGCGCATTTTTGTTGATGAGAACTTATCAAATGAATAATGTTTAAGAAAATACACATGAAGTTAAAAATATAAAATTACACAAAAAAAGTAAAAAATCAGCATTAAAAGATATAAAAATCCAACTAAATACTCGGTGTTATAAATCACTAAATCAAGTTACAATTAAGAGACATAAGGAGTAAATCATTATAGATATTTTCAAAAACTTATCTAGAAAAGTAAAATAGGACTTTTAGTGCATTTCTCAATAAAAAAACATAATATTATTTATTTTAAATTGGAATAGCATAAATAATATGTTTTAATAACTAATATATTGTAAATATTTTTTTTGCATTTCTATGCATATTTTATAGTATTTTCTTTATATATATATAGGTATTATGTACATTGATTTTTTTTAAAAAAGTTAGGGGGCTCAAGGGGCCCCCTGCGCATGCTGTAGGTCCATCATTTTTTTTTTTCATCCAACGATAGACATTCTCATTGAAACAAGAAAAAAAAGATTACAACGAGCAACAACCCGAGCTGGCACAAGTGCCTGAGAGCAAACACTAATAATAGTGTGCTAAAGAACAACCCACCTAGAGACAAGAAGCAAGCATAAAGCTAGAACACTTCTTGCTAAGAAACAACCAAGCAGCCTAAACCAAAAGCAAACTAAAACAGCCAAAAGACAGACCCAAAGCAAAATAAAAAAACCAGAACCTAGAGAAACAGAAACAGAACAAGCTAGGCCTAAAAACTGAAAAACAAACTGAGCACAATACAGCAACAAAGCAAACTAGGATTAACATGAGTTGACATTGCAGAATTCAAGCCATTCTTGCATAGCTCCCTTGATTACCATCTGCACTGGCATTTTCTCCTTGTTGAACATCCACAAATTTCTTGATCTCCATAGCCACCAGAGGATGTAAGTTGATAGTTGGATTCTAGCCTCTGAGATATCAGCTTTGCTAATGGAGCAGACTTGCCACCACCAAGTCTTGAAGGAGGTCTGAGTTGTTGAGATCCCATCTCAGGAGAGAGGGGATATCTTCCAAGCTTCAGAGGTTCTCTTGCAGTTGAAAAGCAAGTGGACAATTGTTTCTTCATCATCCCCACATAGATGGCAGATAGGGTCAATTTTCAGGCCTTTCTTCCATAAGTTCACCCCAGTTGGAAGTGTGTTTGTATAGCACTTCCAGATGAAATGCTTGATCTTCATTTTAACTTTGAGCTTCCAGCTTTTGAGTCTGATCTTTGAATCTGTAAGTCTGTTCTTGCTGCTTTCAGCAAAGTCTAAGCAGCATAACTTGTTGTGAATGAGATAAGCATATGAGGCAGCCACAGAAAAAATTCCTTCACTGTCAGGTTTCCATCTCCATCTATCAACTAGATCAGGGGACAGAGTAGTAATCTCTAAAATGGCTTGGGCATCTTCTTGAGAGAACATTTGGGAGATTAGTTCCTCATTCCAATTACTACCATTCTCAGTCATAAGATCTCTGACAAAGAGGATTTCAGAGTTAATCAGTCTAGATGGAGCAGAGAGGCCAAGTTTAGGGACCTAGCCTGGGTCTGAAATCAAGGTTTGGTGGCCTCCCCTAACTTCTTTCCAAATCCCCTACTTGAATATTGGTAGGATATTAATCCAGTTATTCCACATCCAGGAGCTTGAAGATTTCCTTTGAGCATCAAAAATGGAGGAATTGTGGAAATATCTGCTTTTGAGGACTTGACTGACCAAGAGATGGGGTTGAGTGGTGATTCTCCACAGCTATTTGAGAATGAGTGCTTCATTGAAGGTTTTGAAGCCCTAAAAACCCAATCCTCCATTTATCTTAGGTAAAACAAGTAGCTCCCATTTTTTCCAGTGTATTCCTTTTTCCTGTTCTTTGCCTTTGCTCCACCAGAAGTGGGCTGTAATTTGAGCTAGCTCTTAGCAGATTCCCAGAGGTAACTTAAAGCAAGAAATTGCATAAACAGGCAAAGAATTAATGACAGCTTTGATAAGGACCTCTTTGCCAGCAGTGGACATGTATTTGTTTTTCCAATTCACCATTCTGTTTCTTGCAGCTTGCAGGACAAAGTCAAAAGCTTCCTTTTTAGATTTTCCTATGCCAAGGGGAAGACCTAGGTACCTGGTTGATGAATGGGCTGTTATTCCATCCAATAAATGACAGATGCTGGTCTTAGTGGCAGGGAGGGTGTTTTTGCTGAAGAAGACAGTAGACTTGGACATGTTGACTTGTTGTCCAGTGAAGAGGTGGTATTTATTCAGAATTCTCATAAGGATTGTGGCTTGGCTATGATCAGCTTTGCAGAAGACTAGAGAGTCATCTACAAAAAGGAGGTAGGAGAGAGTGGGTCCTCCTCTGGCAAGCCTGAGACCTTTGAAGGAACCATTAGAGATAGCACTGTTGATAAGACAGGATAAAGCTTCAGAAACTATAAGGAAGAGGTAAGGAGAAAGAGGATCCCCTTGCCTCAATCCTCTAGATGGTTGAAAATAGCCCACAGCTTCATCATTAACCAAGAAGGAGAAGGAAGTAGTAGTAAGGCATGAAAAAATCCACTTGATGTAGGTATCTCCAAAGCCCATTTTCAGCATAATAGATTTGATGCAGCTCCATTCTACCTTGTCAAAGGCTTTCATCATGTCGAGCTTGAGGGCCATGATGCAGTGAGGGCCATTTCTATGCCTGTTCATATAGTGGAAAGCCTCTTGAGCGATGATGATGTTGTTCAGGATGTTCCTGTCTGATAAGAAGGCTCCTTGAGTTTGGCTGATGCAGTGTTGCAAGCATGGTTTATGTCTTGATGCAAGGATTTTAGAGATTATCTTGTAGACCACTGTACATAGGTTGATAGGTCTGAACTGGGAGATAGAGCTGGGGTTCAAGCATTTGGAGATAAGAGTTACCAAGGTATGGTTACAATATTTTAGCAGTTGTCCAGAGGAGAAGAATGAGATCACAGCTGCACTGATATCTTCCTTGAGGATAGGCCAAAAGTGTTGGCAGAAAAGGGGGGTCATGCCATCTTCCCCAGGGACTTTGAGAGGGTTCATTTGGAATAACACTGCCTTTATTTCATCTTCACAGGTGGGTGCTTGGAGTTGTTCATTCATCTTTGAATTGATTGATCTGGGGATGAGGTTGGTAATTTCCTGGGCCCCATGAGATCCCTCAGATGTGAAGAGTCTGTGGTAGTAATTAGAGATCTCCTTGGCAATTTCTTCTTTTTTGGTGTAGATACCATATTGATCAGACAAGAGCCTAGAAATGGCATTTTGTTTTCTTCTCTGCATGGTGAATGCATGGAAGAAGTGAGAGTTCCTGTCTCCTTCTTTTAACCATTGGATCTTGGATCTCTGTTGCCAAAAAGCCTCCTCAGAGATTTGCTCCTTTTCCAGCTCTTGTTTAATTGATTCCCATTCTTCCCAGTTTTTACCTTCACCCAATTGTCTCATCTCCTCAAGCTTAAGTGAGAGTGCTGCAACATGTTCTTTGTGATCAGCTCTGAAAAGTTTACTCCACTTGGACAAAGCTAGCCTAGCTTGCTTGACATGCTCTTTCAACTTGTAAAAGGGAGTACCTTGCTGAGGAATAGCCCAAGCTTTCTCAATTTCTTCTTTGAAGCCTTCTCTTTTAATCCATCTTTTGTCGAAATTGAATCTCTTTTTTTGCTTCCTAGAACTCCCTTGATCATCAAGAAGAAGGACTCCATGGTCTGAAGCACTCTTGAATATGTTTGCAATGCTGGCTTGAGGGTGCTTAGTAGTCCATAATAGAGATCCAAAACCTCTGTCAAGTTTTTCTTCTACAAATCCTTCTTGCATTCTGTTATTACCCCAAGTGTACTGGTAGCCAGTCATGTTAATTTCCACCATCCCTATTGAAGAGATAAAACTATTGAAAGCATTGAAGCTGGAGTTTGATATTGTTCTACCACCTCTCTTTTCATCATGATTGCATATGTCATTCCAGTCTCCAATGATTGCCCAGTAATCTTCCCAGTCCTCTTTGCTTTGCTCAAGGAATTCCCATTGCTGAATTCTGGTTTCTTTGTCAGTGCTCATATATACAAAGGTGAGCCAGAGAGGAATTTCTTCATTAGGAAGAGAAAGCTGAACTTGGATGAAGAAGTCTGAGCTGTTGGTATTCAGGATTGTGGGAATACAATCCCACATCAGCAGCAAACCTCCTCTAGTACTAGATGGTTCCACCAAGCAGAATCTGTTATCAAAACCTAATTTACTAGGTATCATATTAGAATAAAGTTTGGCACCTACGCCTATCTCTAAATCCTCTTCTTAAGTGAGAGTCGATTCCACCGATTTGGATCGAAAAGAACAGATTCTCCGCAAAAGGATCCCAACACCCTCGTCAAAATATCGACTTTCAAACATCTAAAGAATTTTTTTTTTTTTTTTTTTTT